ATAGATAGATAGATAGATAGATAGATAGATAGATAGATAGATAGATAGATAGATAGATAGATAGATAGATAGATAGATAGATAGATAGATTAGTTGAAATATCCTTAGTATCCTTAGTGGTTTGGTTTGGTTTAAAAAAAAAAATTACAACTTGCCTAATGAGTCACTGACAGACATAGATGTCTACAATACTATGATGCACTATGAGTCAACTGTTCTCTAGACAGTTGAATCATAGTGTGTTTTATTGTAATACCTGTATTAATGTTCCTAAATCATGCCTCTGGCACATGCCCTCCTTGAACTTATAATGAAAAAAGACAAAAACAATAATTAAAAACAAACTAAACATTCTCAAACACTGAAATGAGAAAATTCACTTTGGAAACTAAATGAAATTACAGCAAATTTAAAAAAAAACAATAACCTCAAAACAAAAATAAAAACCATTTAGAAAATAGAAAACCATAACAACTCTGCACCACATGTTTTCAGTGACTGAGCAGCTTATTTGTCTAATAAACTAGTTGTATCTGCTACTTTGTGGAAGTAGGAAGGGGAAGAGAATAATAACTTGTTAACAATAACTTTATTTGTAAAGCACTTTTCAAAACACAGAGTTAAAAAAGTGCTGCATAGTTTGAAGCCACACATTGGACATAAATATAAATATCCTCATTTTATTATATCGTTATTTTATAATTTTTGCAAACAGTGGCCAACACTGCGCTCACGTGACAGATATTAAAGAGTCTGGAGACGTTTTGTGTTACTGCAAAATCATCTGTGAAGACTAGAGGGCAGCAGTTGTAGACGTGTCAGGTGCTTCTGCTCCTACTCGCACAAAAAGTCATGCTAGCAGCAGTCACAAGAACACTAGCAAAAAGCAAAACTGTAGGGATACGGAGAGAGCAATGCCCTGAGGTCTTGTTGTTGCCTCTCTGGCGCAGTTTTTATCACTGAATTGCACCAAACGACAGGACAGATTGATGCCGTTTAGCTGACTTTAACTGTCTTTGTGTTACGATAACTAAGTGCCTGCTTCATTGTAAATGTTGCCTCAAAAATGATTAATAAATATACCGTGTAATTTATTCAAAGGTAAACAAATATAGAGGGACTATAAAACTGTAACATTGTTTATTTTGGCTGTTAAAATTATTTCATACAGTTTCCTCTCTTCATCCTACATTTGTTTTCTAATTCCCGCTCTCCTTTTCATCTCTTCACCTTCCTCCGAATGGCTCCAATCACGTCAGTCTCTTCTACTGTCAGGTGTTATTTATGCAGATTGTTTGTAAGGGCCGCGATGTCAGATGGTAATTAACATAAATGGCTTTAAAAGTCCACTGAATCCAATCTGACCCACTGGAAGGTTTTAGAAAATGTGAAGTATAGAGGACACATTTTGAACTTTTAGCTGTATTGTCATAAGTTTTGCAGCTTTTCCTGTTGCTAAAAACTCGACCCACATTGCTGTTCATGCGACACCAAGGTAACTATGTAACTAATAAACAATTAAATAGAGAAGTTCCTGTTTTTCCAATATCAGTTATAGAAATTTCTGCTATAATAGTGTCTTTTTTTAGATTACAATATCTCAGGATTCAGATGTTTAGTTCTGCCCACTTAAGATCAAAGTGGACTGCATGTGGCCTGCTATGTAAAAAAGTGTTTTGTGTCCCTGACGTAGGCGTTTTCATAGAGGTGAACTTAGCCACCAGAAGTGACTGGACAGACAGTTTTAATACCAAATGCAGAATTTATTTCTATTAACATCTTTCACAACATGCAATTGTTTCACTGCAGCTTCCAAATAGTCAATATGCTCAATATCAACACGGGAATATGAAAAGAAAATTAAAAGAGCATCTTTATGCTTAAGAAATGTCTTCCGGAACGCTCTACAAGCCCAAACCTAACACTCTGACGGTCCCTATAGCATTCCCTGTGTGCGTTTGCTCCTCCACACCACTACAGCAGTCATGAGCAGGGTGACCAGTACAGGCACTGTGATAAATGGGGCGAGGATGCTAATCGGTGGGTCATGCAGGAGCCGACCAGTCAGAGCACAGTCATGAAAGTAGATCTGATGAATCTCCATGAAGAAACGGTCGACTATCTGATTTGGCCAGAAGCAGTTTATCCTCAAGGCCACCTGGTATGTGCAGTTTGTGAGTCCCTCATAGATCCTGCAGAGGACAGCAGAGCACAGGCAGATTCATGCTGAACTTAGTATGTGTTATTAAAGAAAAGATGTTACTAAAGTTGATCCTTTTTCTGAATGTTTGGTGAAACATTTTAAAGTAATCAAGCTGAAAACCCAAATTGTTAAAGAAATATCGGCTGGAATCTTGTGATGTCTTTGAAACGTCCTTTCAGAGAAGGAATAGAGCAGGGTATTCCTGTTGGTGGGGAGAAAAAAAGGCAAAAGAGTGTCTAGAATTACCAGTGGGCTTAACACTGCTAAATATAACTGCTAAGTAGTGAGGAGCAGAGGAAATGGAGATGCATACCAACAGGGTACTGCCCTTAGTACAGCATTGCACCATACCAGGAGAGATTCTGTTCCAGACGGCCACTGTGCCTAACTGTGTTTCTGAAAGTGAAGTGATCGCAAAATCCAACCCTTTAACCCTCTGAGGTGTGAGCCTAAGCCTGCCGTACCATACAGAAAGGCAAAAACGGGCAAAACTTGATCTTCTTGTTTACGGTTAGTTAGGCTTAGGTTTGGGGTCAGCACCAACGACGACTTCGACAATGGCCATCCTGAGATGGTTTAATGAAGCAGCTGTGGCTCAGTAGGTACAGCAGGTGATCTCTTAACTGGAGGGTTGGTGGTTGGATCCCTAGCTGCTCCAACCTGTTTGTGAACTGTTGTTTTACTTCCTTAATTTGCCTTTTCTCCCCCTTTGTGACTGTCGTCCCTGGGTCACTGATTTCCCCTATATCTCGTTAGTTCCTTGTGTATTTATAGCGTTGCATTACCTTTGTCATTTATCAGTCCATGTATTTGGCTTCTCCCTCATCACCAAAAGGTTTTCTTGTGCCTCAGCAGCTATGTTTACATGTACCTTGTATTACGATTCTAATAAGGTCCAGTGCTGAAACTTTCAGAGACAGAAGCACAAACGTTTTCATAAATAATAAACAACTCAGGGTTTAGTATCTCGCTCAAGGATACTTGGACATGTAGGTTGGAAAAGCCAGGGACCATGACCCGCTCATGCCCCTTGCTGTGGAGCAGTTGTGGTTTAAAAGGTAGAGCGGGTCGTCCACCAATTGAAAATTGGGTGATATGATCCCCAGATAATCGAAGTATCCTTGGGTGAGATACTAAACTCTGAGTTCCTTCCGATGCTTCTATCGAAGTGTAAGTGTGTGCATGACCATCGGCGCTGAACAAGTGATGGATATCTGACAACAGGAAGATATGATCAGACTGGTTCCAGAAGTAAAATAGCCACTGAAGGAGATGAAAGCGCTTCATCACTTTATCAGGTCTCATGCTGTTATAATTCGGTGGCTGCGCATCAGTGCAGATAATCAACTGACCCAAAGTCTTCATTCCGAATTTTTTTAATGGGACCAAAGGAAATGAACGTCAAAATGCTAAACTTTCGGCTTCAAAACATCGGTCCATAAACCAGACGATGACAACTGTCTTATATTCAGTACACGACTGAAGTGGAGTCCACGTCATACCTAATTAAGGAAAGCTATAACAGGAGTAAAAAGACTGATTGTACCGAAATGAGCAATGGTACATGTCTGGTCTTTGAATTCATGTTTTACTTGTCATTATTACTATACAGCCTGAATCCACAAATATTTTTTCAATACTTGTAATTTTCTCTGTCCCGGCTTTTTTCCTGTGAGCCTGAACAGTGGCGTCAAACGTTGTTGCTAGGAGTTTGGTGATGCAACTGCCAGCCCCTCCAACTGCCTGTGCAAATTCTTTATGAGTTACAACTGAGCACACATACCCATGGACACACACACACACACACACACACACACA